AGATCTGGCTGTTTGAAAGTGTGTGGCACTTCCCCCCTCTCTCCCTGCTGCTGTCGTGGTAAGGAATGCTGGCTTCCCCTTCGCCTTCCACCACCACTGAAGTTTCCTGAGGCCTCCCAGCCATCCTTCCTGTACAGCCTGTGGAACTGTGAGTTAACTAGACCTCTTTTCTTTATAAATTATCCAGTCTCAGGTAGACCTTTTTTTTTTTTTGAGATGGCAGTCTCACCCAGGCTGGAGTGCCATGGTGTGATCTCTGCTCACTGCAACCTCCACCTCCCAGGTTCAAGCAATTCTCCTGCCTCAGCCTCCCAAGCAGCTGGGATTACAGGCATCAAGTAGTTCTTTATAGCAGTGTGAAAATGGACTAACACAGGAGCCAAACACTCATCACCGTAAGAAGCCCCCTCCAAGGGCTGGGAGGGCAAAGGGAGGAGGAAGTGTGACCTCAGTCCCAGGAGCTGGTGGACCTGGCAGGAGCTGGGACCAGAGGGAATGCTCTGCAGGAGCTGTATCCGAGGGGAGGGCTGAGAGAGAGAGAGAGAAAGAGAGAGAGACAGAGAGAGACAGGGAGAGAGAGAAATGGTCTGGCCTCCTCCCCACATTCCTGTGTCCCGCCAATGCCTCCTGTTGGCTGGATTCTCCCAGAACTCAGAAGCAAAGGAGTCTGGGAAACACTGTCTCCACAACACTGAGGAGGAGCAGACAAAGGGAGTCGGAGCTGAGAAAAACCCAGGCAATGGGCCGACCATGACCCAGTAAGATCTGAGGGTGGCCCCTTCCAGATCCCAGAGGATTGCAGCACTGAGAGGCTACAAAATATCAGAGATGGGAGACCTCCAGGAAAACATGGTGCTGAGAAAATATCACCACCTCTCTCCTCAACCAATAACCTAAATCCTTTCTATAGTTTTCTAACTTCTAAGCTTTCCTCCCCTTTTATGTACCATCTTTTGATTATTTTGGAGACCCCCGGCAGCCTTCTAAGGTTTCATTTAATTGGTTTGAATTAGCAAGGAGCAGCTTCCTTTCCATCTTACATGTGGTTACCATGTGGCCCATGCAAAGCAAGCTGTGTGGATCCAGAAAAGGAAGCCTGTAGCCCAGGCGACTGCCTGCCCAGCGCAGGAGCCGCTGGTGGCAGGAAAGGAAGCCTCCTAGCGATGGCAATCATCCTCTCTGCCACCTGCAGCCCCAGACAGCGCACAACAGGGAGAGGGAGCAGCCCAACCCCGGGCGGGAGCGAATACCCTGGATGTTGCAAGACGGGATCCCACCACATTCATTTCCACCGTCAATAACGTAAGCAGGGTGATTCAGGGCTACAAGAAGACGATCCTAAATAATAATGTATAGCAGGAGGTGAACCCGAATGGTAATTACTCTAAGAAACCACCTAAACGTAAGACCTGGCACGATAAAAACCCTAGAAGGAAATCTAGGCAAAACTATCCAGGACATAGGAGTAGGCAAGGACTTCATGAACAAAACACTAAAAGCATTGGCAACAAAAGCCAAAATAGACAAATGGGACCTAATCAAACTCCACAGCTTCTGCACGGCAAAAGAAACAGTCACTAGAGTGAATCGGCAACCAACAGAATGGGAAAAAATTTTTGCAGCTTACCCATCTGACAAAGGGCTGATATCCAGAATTTACAAAGAACTCAAACAGATTTACAAGAAAAAAACAAACAAGCCCATTCAAAAGTGGGCAAAGGATATGAACCGACACTTTACGAAAGAAGACATATATAAGGCCAACAGTCATATGAAAAAATGCTCATCGTCACTGGTCATCAGAGAGATGCAAATCAAAACCACATTGAGATACCACCTCAAGCCAGTTAGAATGGCGATCATTAAAAAATCTGGAGACAACAGATGCTGGAGAGGATGTGGAGAAAAAGGAACACTTTTACACTGTTGGTGGGAGTGTAAATTAATCCAACCATTGTGGAAGACGGTGTGGCGATTCCTCAAGGCCTTAGAAATAGAAATTCCATTTGACCCAGCAATCCCATTACTGGGTATATACCCAAAGGACTATAAATCATTCTACTATAAGGACACATGCACACGAATGTTCATTGCAGCACTGTTTACAATAGCAAAGACCTGGATTCAACCCAAATGCCCATTGATGATAGACTGGATTGGGAAAATGTGGCACATATACACCATGGAATATTATGCAGCAATCAGAAATGATGAGTTCGTGTCGTTTGTAGGGACATGGATGAATCTGGAGAACATCATTCTCAGCAAACTGACACAAGAACAGAAAATGAAACACCGCATATTCTCACTCATAGGCGGGTGATGAAAATGAGAACACATGGACACAGAGAGGGGAGTACTAAACACTGGGGTCTATTGGGGGGAAAAGGGGAGGGCCAGTGGGAGGGGGAGGTGGGGAGGGATAGCCTGGGGAGAAATGCCAAATGTGGGTGAAGGGGTGAAAGCAAACAGAACACACTGCCATGTGTGTACCTATGCAACTATATTGCATGCTCTGCACATGTACCCCAAAACCTAAAATGCAATAAAAAAAAAAGAAACCACCTCAGCCACTCCTGAAATAATAACCATTGTAACAGTGGTTACAATGAGCCTGAATGGGTCAACAGAAATAGACTGAAATGCAAACTTGGAAAACGAGTTTGAAGAGGTCTACAGAGGAAGTCCTTGCATATGAGAAACATCAAGACCCTGTATGTGTGAGAAACAACTCAATCATAAACGTAAGGAAAAGCTTAGGAACAGAAGGACCACCAAGCTCAGATGGCTATACTCAGAATTCAGAGCAGAACAGATCAGATCAGCTGACATCCTACTAAGGTCAAAAATACACTAGAGAGTTCAGGATGCAAAGGAGCTTACTGGAGAAAAGCCACCGAATAAACTGAGAATCACATACAAGTTTCCCATTAGGAATTCCACACAAAGCACCCCTGATAGCACCGTGGCTTCTCTCTGACCCAGAGAACCATTCTGAGCCGCCTACGGCATCACGGGAGAGTGGGTAGGCCCACGTGTCAGCAGGCATTTGTGAATGGAACTGCAAGTTTAATAAAGTCTTCTGAAATTTGGAATTGTTCCCCATTGGTGATTTATTGTTAAATACAACTCCCAGGGATCTCGCATTTCTAAAAATACTATTTGCTTTTTATTTAACACTGAACCTTTTGATGTTTTATAATACAAAAATAGTGTCTTATTATTTTAAAAGCTTAGGAAAGAAACTAGCCATATTATTAGAAAAAGAAGATATATGCAGCTATAGTCTGTTCAAATATCAAGAGGTGTGACTTTCAAATTCACATTTCAATCTTTATTTACATTAGACTTTCAGAAATGGTGGGTGTAAATATTAAAACGCCCAAGCCTGGGTAAAATTTTATTGAGAATAACTACAAATAAAAGAAAACTGATTTTTTAAAGTCAGTTTCTGAAATTTAGATGAAAAGAATATTGAGTATTAAGCAAAAAAAAAAATGATATTTACATATCAATGAAGGTTTTCTGCTCATAGATTCATTTCCTATGAAACATAACGCAGGCAAGCTTAGGGAATTACAAAGAAAGGAAAACCCTAATCAAACAGGCACTGTTGTTCAAACAGAGTAATAGTCAAAACGATCCAATCAATTGCTTGAACTAAATTTTTTTTCTTTAAGCCATTCATGCCAGAACACAAGCTCTCAAAGCATGTTTTCCTCCAACAGATGGGGGGACGTGAAAGATACATTCCATGGAAACAGGGTGGGGACAAAGAAGGCATCAGTTGGTCTCAGCAAACACAGAATTCAACCCCAATGGGGACACTGTTCTCAAAGTAAGCATTATTCATTCACATTCTAGGCTATGTCTAACAACTACATGAATCAACCTAAACACACTAAATTCAAGTTGCTGGATCTTTAATTTCACTGTTGTTCAGAATTATACCATAGAATGCAACATAACCTATGAAAATTTTTCTGAAGAGAGAGTACAACAAGTAGCAAAGTACCTTCCTGGAGTGAGGTTAATACTCAACTTTGTTTTCAGATTCGTCCAAGGTCTTCAGATAATCCAGGGTTCACCCTGTCATCAGACATGATGATGGCGGTCATGGTTTTAGGTCTTTGTTTGAAACAAAATTAGTGCTTATCACTGTAAAACACAGTAGCTTATCGTGTGTCAACTGAGGATCTCCATCATTTATTGACTCAATCTTTTGCTTATCAAAAACAGAGCAATACATTGCTCTAAAGATCTTTAGGGGGCAATCTCAGAAATACCCATATAGACACACACAAATTCCTGGTTTCTGTGTGGAATTTAAATATAATTCTATTTTATTGCAATATTAAGATTTCAAATTTAAAATTAAAGAAACCCAAGAATTATAGAGGTTATCAAAGACATATTAACTTGTTCTTGGAGTACGTTCAAAATTAATAAGAAAGGTATTATTATGCTAATATATACTTTATGATATTCTGTCCAATGAAAGAGACTGAGAATCTGACTCTGGCAGTTTCTGACCTCCCTTTACTTTGAATTAATGGTGTGAACATTGTGTTTCCTTCTGAAATCTGTGATTTATGTGAAGTTTATGATGGAAACATGCAAGAAAAGCTTAAACAGGGAAAAGAACAAAGCAATGTTGATTCCTATTTGGAAAATTAAATGAGAAAGATCTTTTCTCCAAGATGTCCTTAAATGATTCTCTATTTTAACCAAATCCAGTGGCCTGGTCCCTTCCTTAAACCCTGTTTTTAGAAGGAATTTTAAATGTATTTGCAATTTCTATTTCCAATCTGAAGCTGGACACAAATTAGTTTGTACACCAATAGAATGCTAAGAAAAGCTTAAATCAATCTTCACCTTTTTATTTATGTTCCTCATTCTTCAGAAACGTAATTGCAGTTTTTATTAACTTTGTTTTATGGATCTAATATTTAAGAAGTCGTCTATCTCTTATGCCACAGCAAGAAGGTTAATGCACTTACAGACTCCCCGGCAATACATCTTACGCAAGGCTGGGCCCAGCTCCTTCCACCGTTCTGAGAAATCTATTTAACAAATCACAGTTGCAGATACATCAGAACAATTATTATTTACATGTTCTGTTAAAATATTTAAACATGCTCACAACTGGATTGGTGGGCACAGGAACATACCCCGGTACTTGGCCTCCCCTGGCCGCTCTCTAGCCTCGGTGCTGGGGCTCTTGATGGAGGCTCCTGGTCCTCTGGGCCCCAGGATGCCAGGACACAGGTGTTCAGTTGGTGGCAGCCATGCTCATGCCCACTGGCTTCTAATCTCCTGCATGCCCGTTTCTGAAACAAACAGAATTTCACTTTAGATGGTCTCATAAAGCACACAACGCTCTAATTGAATTTGCTTTCAGAAAACTTCGGCTGCAAATACAGACCCCTGTGGAGCTGGAAAACTTTATAGGGCATTTGAGGAGATGACTTTAAACTTCGTCTTTTCAGAATAACAATCATCAATTACATTTAACCTCATTATTCCTTGTATTGTCTGATATTTACTTAGCTTTGTACATTTAAAATAGTAATTTCAAACAATTTTGGCTGAAACTCTTGTAATAAACTATGGTGACTGGTTTATTGATATTGAAAATGTACAAAACCTATAAATTTTGTTTAAGAAACTAGTTATATGCTTTTGCTGGGTATCAAATTACATACTTTCTTAATACTGAATAATTCACATGTGAATACTTCTCTGTCTCACTGGCACTGAAGAACAAATTAGTTTTATTTATTTCAAAGGTTACACACACAGTCTATAACTGATAACCTTTGGGAAAGTTAGCATTTGATTTTTACTACTATGTGAACTAAAGAAAATAATTACAATCAAAATGCTCCAATGCTACAGAAAAAAAGTGCTCAGTTTCAACGTCCCAAGAGTTTGTGTATTTTTAGGGCAGCCATGTTGTAACTGACTCGGAGTTTCAGAGACAGGAGGACCTCTGTAAACAGTGAGAGGCCACTTTGGCCCAGGGCCAGCAATCCACCCCAGGAGCCCTGGCAGCCAGCCTAAGAAGACCCACTGCTGGACACCCCGATGTCAGAACACACTTCATGGTACACTGGCATCTCCCTGACTTCTTCAGTCACTGGCAAAGCACCTTTATGAGTTTTGCAAAATGTGTTTATTATCTGTACTATTATTATTTAATATATTCTTAATGAACTCTTTCACTTAATGCATTTACACAATATAGAAATCTTATGACAGACTAGGAATGATACATTAAAAATGGGAGATAAAGGAAAAAGAATGAAGAGAGGAGAATTCTCATTATTGTATAGTTCATTATTATATAAGCAGTAGGTGAGTATTAACTGATACTGAAAAAAACTGATAATCAGACAATAAAGGGTTAAATAATAAAACGGCATACCTAAGGATATTAAATAGAATTAAATACAAATAATCACTAGAAAATACAAATCCTTCTACATCCAAAGTTTTAAAAGAACAAGACCCAACTATACACTGTATACAAGGGATGCACTTAAAATCAAGTGATTCTGAAGGGCTAAAAATAAGAAGGACGGACAAAGGTACACTAAGGAAATAAAAACCAAAACAGAGCACGAGCAGAGCACATAGAACACAAGCCCCAAAGTGTTCCATACAACCGAGGACTTTTCTTTAATGCTGAAAGCCACAGTCCACAGTGAAGACATAATACTCATAAACATCTACGGGCCAAATAATATAACTATAGTCTTTATCAAAGACTCCGGGAGATGTGGGCAAACACAATTAGAAACATACTAATAACAGAAGGTTTCATACACCATTCTCAGTACAAAGCAGAGTGAGTAACATCATAGAAGACGGGCAAGGAGAGAGATCTAAACAACATCATCAGCCAAGGTTGACCTTACGGCCGTGGATATTGAACTCTGCACCCTGATCATAGAGAATACACGTTCCTCCCAAGAACCCACAGCACAGTCACAACTGATTGCATTAAAGGGGAAAAAAGCCAATGATTTCTACTCGGTAGAAACATACCAATACTTCTAATCACAATGCATAAACTACCAATTATTAACAAAAACAAAAAAAGCAGAAGGGCGCTCCACCTGGAAATATTAAGTCTTACTATTTATTCGGTCACCAAACTGAAAGGACAAAATTAAGAAAAATAATAACTACAATGAAAATACTACATATCAGAATCCATGAAATACATTTAAAGCAGTAATCAGAGAAAAATTCATTGCACTGACATTTTTATCAATAAAAATGAGAAATGAAAATTAATAATTCCCAGCCAGGCACAGTGGCTCACGCCTGTAATCCCATCACTTTGGGAGGCTGGTGCAGGCAGATCACTTGAGGCCAAGAGTTTGAGACCAACCTGGGCAACATGGTGAAACCCTGTCTCTACCAGAAAATATAAAAATTAGCCAGGCATGGTGGTGTGCCTATAGTCCCAGCTACTCAGGAGGCTGAGGTGTGAAGACTGAACCCAGAAGGCTGAGGCTGCAGTGAGCCAAGATCATGCCACTGCACTCCAGCCTGGGTAACAGAGTGAGCCTCTTTCAAAAAATAAATAACAATAACAATAATAATTCCCAGCTCATGAAAACTAAGGAAAAAAAGCAAACCAAAGGAATACACCAAGAAAAAATAAAGGAAAAAGCTAAAATTAATAAGAAAAAAAAGTACGTAAGATAAAATTAATGAGGTAGGGAACAGAAAAACAGAGTTAATGTAAAAATATAAATCCTGGTTTTTGGAGGGAAAAAAGTACTGTTTCCTAACAAATCACTAGTTAAGTTGGTCAAGAAGAAGGTGGAGTGAATACAAAAACAGAAAATAAGAAAGGACACAGGGAAATACAATGAAACAGGAAACTTTTAAATCTTAAGGGAATATTAAAATGTAGATGAAACTGATAACTTCCTAAGGATAGTCTGATTACCAAAACTGATCCCATTAGAATACAAAGCTTAAACGGATGATTTCCCAGAAGAAACAAAAAGAGTTATAAGTAACCAGCCCACAAGAAGCCCCAGGACCAGACAGTTTCCCAGGGGAATTCTCCCAAACCTTCAAAGGCCAGGTAATGCCAATGCTCTATGAAAAAGATTCCAGCACACTGTCTCCTTTTATGAAGCAAATGTAACACTGATAAACCAGACAGAAGGAACAAGAAAATAAAACTACACACCAATCAATTGCTCTTCAATATCGATATAAAAATATGAAATGAGGCCTAAGATATCAGAAATATTAGGAAACTCTTAGTATCATGTACTATATTAATAAACATAAGGAAATAGTGTGATTACCTCCATAGATTCTGAAATATCCCTTAAGAAAGTTTAAAATCCATTTATGATAAAATTTAAAGAAAACAGGAGTTGAGGGGATATACTGTTAAACATGATAAAATACACATTCCTTAACTCATTACCGCATAGGGAAAAACTAATAGCATTTCTCCACTATCAAGAACAGGGCAAAGATGCCTACTTTCTCCGTTTCTGTCCAACACCGTATGACAGGTATTGACCATATATTGAGACGAAAGAAATCCATCAGCAGCGTAAGAAGGAGTAAAGCAGTAAAGCCACTTCAACTTGCACTTGATAACCACAAATACCCGGAAACCCCCAGAGAGTCAATGATAAAAGGAATTCACTAACACAGAATTAATATATAAAAATCAATAGCTTTTAAATACAAAATAATAATCAGAGAAAACTCCATTTAAAATAACTGCAACAAACGTTAAATACCTACGAACAAATTTAACGAGAATTGCACAAAGTCTATGCAAGGAGAATGTAAGACCTTCTTGAAAGACTCTAAAGGAGATATGAACAAGAAGAGAAAAGACATCCCCAGCTCTTGGCTGGATAACCCAGTATTATAAAGATGACAGTTCTCCCTAAATAAATGTGTAAATTCAACATAATCCCAGTAAACTATTTTTATAGAGTTACACTAGTTGATACTAACAGTCACAATGAAAAAAAAAATGTGCAACAAGGGCCAGGAAAACTCTGAAGAAAAAAAATAAAACAACTCCTGGTCATTAAAATAAACCACAGAGACTCCGTAATGAAACACGGCGGTCCTGGTACACAGGAGACAAACGGACCAATGTGGTAGCATTAAAAGTCCAGACACAAATTGAAATACACATGAAAGTTTGTCTTCAAATCACCGGGATAAGGATGGACTTTTATATATACATATATAATTTTCTTTTTTTTTTAGAGATGAGGAATCACTATATTGACCAGGCTGGTCTCAAACTCCTGGACTCAAGCAATCCTCCCACCTAGGCTTCCCAAAGTGCTAAGATTATAAGCATGAGCCACTGTGCCCAGCAGGATGGACTTTTTAATACATGAGGTTGGGACAACTTAGAGCTATTTGGAGAAAAGAAATTTAGATCTGCACCTCATACCATGACATGGTTTGACTGTGTCCCCACCCAAATCTCATCTTGAATTATAGCTTCTTTAATTCCCACACGCTGTGGGAGGGACCCACCGGGGGCAACTGAATCATGGAGGCGGTTCCCCCACAGTGCTCTCGTGGTAGTAAGTCTCACAAGAGCTGATGTTTTTATAAGGGGCTCCCCTTTGGCTTGGCTCTCATTCTCTTTCATGCACACTGCCAAGTAAGACGTACCTTTTACCTTCTGCAATGATTGTGAGGCCTCTCCAGCCACATGGAACTGTGAGGCCATTAAATTTCTTTTTCTTTATAAATTACCCAGTCTCTGGTATGTCTTTATCAGCAGTGTGAAAACAGACTAATACAACCACATACAAAACCAAACCAGATGCATCAGGGACTGAATGTAAAAGATCTAATTACAAAGAACTTTGCAATTCCTAGGAGAAAATACGAGTGAATTCTCTAATGCTGGTGTAGGGAAAGATTTTCTGACAATGATTCAAAATACAGAGGCAATAAAGTCAAGATTGATAAGTTTGACTACATGAAAATAAAAACTTCTGTAGGGCCAAATAAATCCCAAACATCCAAGGAAAACTGATATATTGAAAGAAAAATGATTGCAACATACACCACAGAAAAAGGGTGAGTAACTTGAATATAAGAAACTATTACAGGCTGGGCGCAGTGGCTCACACCTGTAATCCCAGCACTTTGGGAGGCCGAAGTGGGCAGATCACAAGGTCAGGAGTTCGAGACCAGCTGGCCAATATGGTCTCTACTAAAAAAAAATACAAAAATTAGCCAGGCGTGGTGGTGCATGCCTGTAGTCCCAGCTCCTTGGGAGGCTGAGGCAGAACTGCTCGAAGCT